AGACTTCTGCTAACTTAGTACAACGATTCTGGTGGCCTAACATGCTTGGCGATGCAAAGAAATATGTGCAGACTTGTCAGGTCTGTCAGCGGGACAAGCCGCGGACTCGAGCACCACTTGCCACTTGGGTTATTGAAGACTCTACCCATTCCTGCTGGTCCGGGACAGAGTGTTTCCATGGATCTCATGGATACCCTCGTGACCAGCAAGAGTGGTAAAAGGCATATCTTCGTCATAGTTGATAGGATCTGATTCACTAAGTACGCTAGACTTATCGCCATGCCGGAGACTGTCAGGACTGAGCACATCATCAAGTTGTTCATGGACAACTGGATGTGTGACTTTCGACTGCCAAAGACCATTATTAGTGATAGAGATGTTCGGTTTACCTGTGAAATGTGAAAGAAGGCCGTTGAACAAATGGGCAACCAGCTTCAGATGACTTCTGGAATAATCCAAAAGCAAACGGGCAGGCTGAATAGATAATCGTGTGGTGTAACATCTGTTGAGGCACTATATCAAGCCCAACCAGGATGATTGGGATGAGAAACTACCTCTCATCGTCCGTCCGTACAATAACACTGTACATAGCACCACGGGCGTCAGTCCTAATCAGCTGCATCTGGGATGTAAGCCTAGATCTGCTCTAGACTTCCTCCTGCCTGAAAACTGAACTGCTGCAATTCTTGGAACCATTGAATTTGGTGTCCAATATGACAAATTGTTGCAGCAGACTGTTGAAAACATTAGGAAATCTCAGGAAGCCACGATTGCTTCTGATAACAAGCATCACCGACAATCCACATTTCAAGTAGGGGAACGTGTCTGGATCAAGGTTAGTGAGTTGGGACAAGAATTCAACATTTGTAGAAAACTAATGCCCTAGTATTTCGGTTCCTGGGAAGTCTGAGACATTGTGGGTAGTGATTTGGATGATCCCTCGTACGTAATTAGTATCGATTCCCTGGTCACTTACGCACTTACCCTGTGTTTCACGCCTCAAAGCTCGCACCTTTCGCTGAGACAGAACAGTTCCCATCAAGGACTGCAAGATCTATGCTGCCCCCAACCATGGATGGTCACGTGGACGTCGACGATATCCTGGAGCACAGATGTGGCAGACACACCAGGTGTGGTGCTCCGCCTGGGAAAGAGATGGAGATGGAGGATGAGAGTGGAGCAAGATGGCACAACGCAACTCCCACGTGAGACTCCAATGCATGTACTCCAAACTGTGCGAATGCAGGATGACCTCAAAAACTGACAACATATGGGGTATACCCCAGCGGACTGACTGGCACCGACAGAGGTACCGGCCTGGGCTGGACTACCCCGAATACAACACAGGCCTGTGAGAACAGGCCAAGGGGCTGGTCTCACCGGCCAGCCAGAGGTCCGCGACACGATCCTCAGCCTGTGATGGATCGCCTAGATACAAGCATGCTTCCGCCAAGAAACGGAAGTCTACCAAAGAAAAAGAAAACCCGAGTAATCTAGGAGGCGGAGCAAGCTCCATGCCAAGTCCATGCGATGCAACCTAGGATAAAAAATGTCACAAAAGATAGCAATGTCACAGCTAACAGCCTAAGTGAAAGCAAAAGCAACTAACTAGTATACATGTCCTAGAAAAGCAGAAAGTAATGACAACTAAATCCTAGAATGTTGGAGGAAGTAGCCTCAGTCTGAAAACAACTGACTACTGTACAAGTCCTTAGAACAGTAAAAGCAGAAACAACTAAATCCTAGAAGTGTTAGAGGCACTAGCCTCAGTCTGGGAGCAACAAAGCAACAACAAGACAACCATATGTCACAGGAGGAGTGTGTCACAACCACAGGGTGGGATGGTCTCTGAGGGTGGCGAATGCAGCCTAGGGGTCGATAAACTCCTAAGGGCATCCACAAATAATGACAGGGGGACACATGTCATCATGCTCAACGAGGGTAGGGAATTGGGAGCGAACAGAACTAATGACCCTAACAGATACACCATCAGGCAGGTAATGCTCGACTAAAGGGGTGATCGCTATGGAGGGTCGACCACGCAAGGGAATAAGGGAGCCTGGTATACTGGGCGCACCTAGATGAAGCATGCAAGGCTGCCTAACTAGGGCGTGAGGGCCGACAGAGGGTAGAAAAAGTAATGGGTAAGGGAATCATGCAAATGATTCCTAAGGTGGGGGAAGTCGGAGCTGGATCCGTAAGCTGGGAAGCCAGTGCAACGCTACAGTCCCGATGGCTATGCGTATACCAAAGGAGAGCCCAACTCAGAGGAACCCGACGAAGGGGGACCATCATGCGACACAACCAGGGTACTGTACAGGGTAAGGTAGTAAGAGTGTGACGACGTCTGAAGTAGGCACATATGATCGTGATGAAGTCCATGAAGCTGCTGATGACGTCCATGATGAGAAGTCTGGAATGTCGTCGACGAAGAGCCGCAATGTCGACGAGCTAAAGTGGCAAAACTGGGGTGGATGGAATACTTAGAAGTCAAAGACGTGGGAAGATAAGCTAGAGTCAATCGTCGTATCGAGCAGGACGACGACGAGTGCGCTCTGGACGCTCAGAAGCATCCTGCTGCAACTGAAGGTCTGCCTTAGATGAAGTAGGCTCGACTTCAGCAGTCTCCTCAGCCGAGGGAGAAGGAAGAGGGTCAATGGGCTGAGGAGGAGCAGTCAACCCAGCATGGTGAGCACGGTCATAGGCACGCACCAACATGCGAGCGTGCTGCAAGTGCTTGAGGGGCTCCCAAGTAGCCTCCTCATCAGGGTAACCCTTCCAACGTACGAGATACTCGACATGGGGAGGGTTGTCATCGGTGACTCAACGACCAATGATGTCTGAAACGAGGAACTCCTCGTGGCCGTTCACCATAATGGGTGGAGGGCGCTCGTATGGTCGTCCAACGAAACGCTCAGATGGTCTGCGGTAGGGATGCGGTAACGAGACGTGGTAGACATCGTGCACACGAGTCTAGCGTAGGTAGTCGGGCAACTTCACACGGAAGCCGACCGGGCTAGATGCCGTATCAGAACCGACGACCTGGAGAATACGGCATGGGCAAAAGAAGCAATGCCGAAACTTGCGAAGCGTATCTGCTTCGAGCTGTAAGTGGCGGGTGTCGACAATCACATCATCACCAACTTTGAATGGATGATCCATCCTCGATCGGTCCGCACGTGTGGCCATGCGAGTCTGGGAAGTGGCTAGGTGCTCATGCGCGGTCTTCATGATCGACGTCATTTGTGCAACCCAATCATCCAGCGCGGGACAACTCGTGTCCGAGCGCATCTGTGACGGTCGAAGGAAGTCCTCGGGAACACGAGGGTGATAGCCGAGGTCGCAATAGTAAGGCAACATCCCCGTGGCTGGCGAGACGGCGTGGTTGTAGGCTATCTCCGCGTGGGCACGATGGAGATCCCACTGCTGGTCGTTGCGAACAATCTTTCGGAGAATATCTCCGAGAGTCTTGTTCATGATCTCGGTCTGACTGGTAAGACGAGGAGAAGCGGAGCTGGGTGCCGTACACCTCGTGGAGCCGTTGCCAGAATCGGCTGGTAAAGTGCGGGTCACGGTCAGATATGATGCTCAGAGGTAAGCCGTGGTCACACACGACTTGGTCAAACACGATGTCGGCGACTTCACGTGCACTGATTGCATAGCGGCACGGAACAAAGTGTGCGCGCTTCGTGAAGCGGTCGACGACGACCAGGATAGCATCATGACCGCGGGGGGTCGAAGAACAAAGAGGACCGATAAAGTCCATCGAGATGGACTGCCAACGACCCTCAGGGATAGGAAGAGGCTGGAGCAAACCATAATGCAGGTGGTTCGCACTGTTCACCTCCTGATAGGTGGGACACTCTGCGACGTAGTCCTTTCACGAAGTCCTTGCGCTTTGGCAAGACGTACAAGCGGCTCACATGAGCCAACGTCTTGTGAAAACCCATATGACTGGCGGCTGCTTGGTCATGAAACTCTGCTACTGCCCGGACACGTAGCTGTCCAGTGGAGGGAACGCAAATGCGGGGCTCTCTGGTACCCTGTGAACCGTGCCAGTACACAAGACCGTTGTCCCTGAGAAAGTAGTTCGGGACGGTCTTTCCACTCCGAAGGGTCGCATGGATGTCGCGGTAGTCGGGGCAGTGGCGATACTGGGTGCGAAACTCGTCGATCACCAAGTGGTGGACGGTGGTGACCGAGATGGCAGCAAGCTGGATCTGCTCCAGATCATGGTGAGGGCGCCGGAATAAGGCATCTGCGACCCGATTAGTCTCACCCTTGATGTGCTCAATGGTGAAACTAAACTCGGATAGGTCGCGCCACCAGCGAGCCTGTCGAGGAGTGAGCCTCGACTTTGTCAGAAAAGCCTGGACAACAGAGTTGTCCGTGCGCACCGTGAATGGTGCCCCGTGCAGGTAGTGACGCCAGTGCAAAGCGACATAAACTACTGCGAGAACCTCACGTTTATCAGGAGTGTAGTTTATCTCGGCGGGCAGGAGCTGACGGGAGTAGAAGGCTATCGGACAATCACTTGAGCGAGACTCGACAGTGTCGTCCTCAACGATTGTAGGAGAATAGTCAAGAGAAGGCTCGTCAATAGCTGGACGAGTAGGCATCAGGCGGGAAGCAGTGGTAGCGATAGGAGGTGGGAAGGGAGGGATGCGAGGATGAGAGGAATCAGGAGAGGAGGGGAAAATCCGAGAGAGCACTGCTCCTACAACAAAGTATGACGCATCGGTGGTTAGGATAAAAGGGTGATCAAAATCGGGTCACCGCCTTCTCAAGGGTGCGGAATGCGTCCTCGTGGAGGGGTGTCCAAGATCATGGCGGGTTCTTCCGAAGGAGGGTAGAGGTAAGGACGTAGGAATACCTAGCGTATCCCTGGATGAAGTTACTATAGTAACTAGTGAGGCCTAGGAAGCTGCAATGCTGCTTGGCGGATGTGGGGACGGGCCAGTCCGCAATAGCAGTGATCTTCGCATCGTCCATGTGGAGACCCTGGTCAAACACGTAGTGTCCTAAGAAATCCACTTTGTGCTGGGCAAAGCGGCACTTGCTCAGCTTCGCGTAGAAGCCATGTCTTCACAAGCGGTCAAGGACTTCGCGAAGGTGTCTTAGATGCTCCTCAAGGGTACGACTGTAGATCAGGATATCGTCGAGGTAGACGAGAATGTACTGCTCCAGGATGTCCCTGAAGATATCGTTCATCGCCCTCTGGAAGGTGGCGGGTGCATTGGTGAGGCCAAATGACATCACTGTGAACTCGTAGTGGCCGAAGCGCGACTGAAAGGCGGTCTTCGGCTGGTCCTCTGCAGTGACGCGGATCTGATGGTAACCGCTATGAAGATCAATCTTCGTAAAGAAGCGGTTGTCTGCTAGGCAGTCGAACAACTCGTCGGCACGAGGCATGGGGTAGTTGTTCTTAACCGTGTAGCGGTTGAGACTGCGATAATCGATGCAGAGACAGAGAGTCTCATCCGCTTTGCGAGCAAAGAGGACGGGCGCACCCCACGGGGAGTTGCTGGGTTTAATGAAACCCAGTCTCAGGAGCTCCTCAAGCTGACGCTTGAGTTCGGTGGCCTCGGGGATCGAGAGTCTGTAGTTTGCCTGATGGTGAACACCATAGTCAGACACAAGATGAATGGAATGCTCGACGTCGAGCATCGGTGGGATGCCGGCGTACGAGAACGACGATGGGAAAACGTCATGGTACTCTTAAATGAGGTCACGAACAACGGGCTCCAGGTCGGCCGTATAGCGTGCAAGTTCCTCAACGTCAGCGTTGGCGCGCGACGACGGGGTGGACTCGACGGACGGCAGAGGGAGGGAAGTAGAGATGGAAGCCATGGAGATAGGAGGAGTATCTGGCTCCAGAGAGATGAGCTCGGGGTCTGGACAGGGTGGATCATAATGCAAGAGATTCGTAACGTTCACCGTAAAGAAGGTGACGTCATCCTGTCGGATGAAATGGGCTAACTGCCGAGGCGAGGTGACGGTGATAGTAGGAGATGGTGTGGGCACGGAAGGCTCCGGGGGAGGAGGGTCGAGGCATTGTGTCGCGGTGGTACCTATGAAAGGTACGCGATACGTCTGTCCACACTGCGTTTTGAGAACGAGAGTGTTGGTCGCCCAATCGGCCTAGGTGTTGCGGAACTGACGAGACCACAAAGTACCGAGAATGAAATTGTACCCCGTCTCCATCACATCGAAATGTGCAGAGGAGCAGTGGCGACGAGACGCAGGGGGACGATAAGTCGGCTCGAGAGTGAGGAAGAAAGGGAGGTCGGTGACCGTCTGATCGAAGAAGCGCTGGGTCTTGTCATCCCCTAGGGTGACGAAGATGGGAGTCGGAGACCCTGTCGTGGGTAAGCGGGCTTCTTTCACTACACGTGGGTGAATGAAGTCGCTCAGAGGTCCCGTGTCATACTGGAATGATTGGGAGGGTGCGATCAGGGTCAGAGAGGATGGTGAGAAGGCGACGCAGTGCAGCGACATGGAGGATGAGTCGCTCCTGACGAGCCTGGAGCATGCTCAAGTCCAGAAGGGAGGACACAAGGTCCTCGCGAGTTGCAAGCTACTCGTTGCAACGGGCTGAGCGAGTGGCTCGACGCGTCGGTAGTCACGGAGAGGTAGGAGGGGAGACGGTGGTGTGCGGAGGAGCGGATGGTACAGCGACAGAGGGTTGAGTACACTCTGTCGGGTCCTGCAATATCTTAACTCCAGTAGCGAGAGGGGCAAACCACGACGGAGATGTCAGGAAGCCGACTACTGAGGAGGGCGCAGGTGTACACTGCACCATGGCTAGGAGGCGCCGCGGGGGTGCGAGGCGCCGGGGGGGGACTGAGCATGACGCTGGCGAGAGAGCTCAACGTAGTGGCGGTCGAGGGCGGCGGTGTAAGGGCACCGCGAGGAGGTATGACCGTCCTGGCGACAACGCAAACACCCACGCCGACCCAAAATGGTCGCGCACTCCTCGACGGAAAGGACACCGTAAGGAGGGACAAAGCCCTGAGGAAGGTCCTGCTGAGGGACCTCAGGGGGAGACGCGCCAGCGTGACCAGAGCGGCTGCGTGCCCGGGAGAGGGTGGAGAGGGCGAGCTGGAGGCGGTCGGTTATAGGGAGGGTAGAGTCCTCCAGGTGATAGTGGACGGCCTCGCAGAGGTCGAGGTCGTCGCTATGGTCACCCTCAGGCGACAGCGGGGCAACAACGTCCTGCTCACCATACTCGAGCGCGCTGAAATGGCGCGAGAAGTGGCGGTCTTGCTGCGCGGAACGGCGGGGGCGACCACGAAAAGAGGAACAACGCTGGGAAGTGTCGTGAGAGGAGGAGGGGGCGTAACTAGCACGCTGAGGCTTGGAGGAGGAAGTGTGTTGAAGACGGGCCCGCATCCGCTGATGGGCCCTGGCGGCCTCGTAAGCCAGCGGGGCCGATGTGAACTCGTACCGCCATAACTCGGAGCGGTACTCAAGGGGAAGGCTGACCAAGAAACGATCGAT